AGTGTCCTGTCTGTCCTCTGATATGGCCGATGTGGGTGAGGTAAGTGAGAAAAGACAAGGGTTATTCTTTTAGATTTTTGAGTAGAAGCTGTTGATCTCTCGATACAGTTGGTAGCTGTGGAGAGCTATATATAAGAAAAGATGCATGCAAGGGAGAGATTTAGCCGAACAGGAGTCTAGGTAATAACCATGAAACTCGTGTTTTAATATCTTAGGACCAACCAATCCGATAAGCCTTGAATATATTAATATTATACATGCGGCCCACATGTGGATAATAATACTATGAGTGCTTATTATAATTTAATAATATTAGAGTGTATTATATAGGAGGTTTATACACGGGATATAACGTTTATGCTAGCAAGTCTCCATTTAAAGCGTATTAAAATCTGCTTATAAAGAGTAGCATGAATACTACGTGCCTACCTTCTAGGTTCTTTAGCTTATTATAAGCTTAAAAACTAGATTATATAATTTTCTAAAAACATATTATACTATACTATACTATAAAAACTATAAAATGTAGTTTTTTAAGTTTTAAGCTTATAATACTATATAAGAGCCCACTTTTTTTAATATTAGCTTATAATATAAAACTTATATTAATTATTTGTAAAACTTATAATTCTAGAAGTATTTTATTAGATTTAATATAATTTTTTATATTTAAAACTATAAAAACTATAAAACTATAAAACTATACTACAGTTAATACTCTAAACCCTAGCTAGGTTCTTATCCCTATTAATTGGAATAGGTAGCTATTATAACTTTATAAGTAATGTCTTACCACCTAGACCTTAAAAGTTAGAGTGGAGGTTAAGGGGATTGCTCCACTCGTGCTCCACCCTCGAGTCCTCGACTGAACCCTCTGCTATAGTGTTAACCGCAAAAATTACCTCTCTTTACTATCTCCCTTTAACCCTAATAGAGTCTACGTAACGAGAAGTATTTAGATCTCGTGCAAGCGAATACCTAATTATTTACGTTTAATCTATTATAGCCTAATTAATAGGGATATAGTGTTTATAGACGCGGCTTAAGAAGAAGGGCGCTTCTAGTTTAAGGGTCTTTACACTTTATTTAACCGCCTATTAACCTGCTAGAATTTATGTAACGGAGAACTAATGTATTAGCTCGGGGTAGACTCGATTATATAGCTCCCTAAACGTTTTATGCAGGCGCTAGAGTTATAATAACGGTTCTAAGTTGTCTAATAAATGAAAAATGTGTCCTAGAATTTTATGGTTAACTAACTGGCTAGCCCACTTAGTTGTTATATTTGTAATTTATTGGCCTAAACGCGACACACACCCACACCAGTAACTCTATACGCGGTATCGCGATCTAGTTACTTTTTAATTCTTGTAACTCACTTCTTAAGGCTAGTAAGGTTCTTAAATAAGTAGTAAATTAATTTAAATAAAGTAATTAAATGCTTCTAAAATACTTATAGTCCTAATTACACGTATTATAGGCTATAGCTTATTATAAGTGTAAATAAGTAATTAAATAACTTAAATAATTTAATTATATAGTGTAAGCTTATATAAGGCTAATTAAATAACTTAATAAAATATTAGTAAAAGATCTTATAAACTTAATTATAAAGGCGAAACTTATTAAATTAAAGACTTATACGTGTGCCTATTTTCTTATACTAATAACGTGGCTACGATTAAATGCACTATCTGACTTCCTCTAACTTGTGAGCACAAATACCGCTACATAGTAAGAGCTTTAATTATTATAAATAAAGTTAATACCTTTAAAGAAAATAAAATCTATAATAAAGAAAGTAAAATAAATAATTTATACGTATTAATTAATAAGTAAGTATTTAAAGTTAAATTAAGTTTACGTAATAAAATTAAATACTATAAGGCTTAATACGTAATTTAAAGCTTTAAATAAAAGTATAATATTAATTATAATAAAATCTTTATTTTAATAGTTTAATAAAAGATTTATTATTTATTATTTACCTTAATTATACTCTTAAATTAAGAGATTAAATACATAAACTTAAAGATTATCCTCTTATATAATTACGTAAATAAAATAATTTATATTAATC